TAGTGTAGTCCGTCGTATGCACTCCGTGTAAAGTTGTCGATTTCCACAATAACTCCTTTGTGTTGAATAGACCCGTGTAGTTTTGTGTATGCATTTGTTGGTGATTTGTTTGCCACCTATATTCATTTAGTTTAATGCACATAAATCTGTAAATCTCTCACCATTCTCGTTAATTTCTCTCAGTCAGTTCATGTCGTCACACGATGTGTTCGTACCCGATATTGTCCATTCTGATTTTGACGTTCTGGTTTCTGACCATGTCGCTAAGGTTCTTTCCTGAGCACTTCGCTATGATTGATTGCAGGGTTGGGTAGAACTTATCTTTATTGTCGTCGTTCCTATCATTGGTGGGTGCATAGCACTAAATTTCATTCATAGGACTCCCTCCTTTGTTTCGAAGGATGCTTTGGTGATCCTGGGTCCATGAAATTCCCATCGTATAAGTGCATTTTGCGCTTCTTTGAACAGCATCAGAGAAACACCCTTGGTATATGGAGCATTTTGTCCTTCGTGACTAGAGTGCAGCAGAATCTCCCCATAGCAACAATTTTTATAGGTACATGGAATGTCTGGATCTCTTTTCTGTCCTGTCTGGGTTCAGTGTGCTTCACTTATTCCGAGCAGCGCCAAGTTGTATTTCCGGTCTTATGTAACTGTCTGACTAGTCCTACTGTTCTGCCACATGGTCCAGACATTCCATGTACCTATAAAAATTGTTGCTTTGGTTGTTAGAAAGGGCATCGATTCCATGACTTTGGAAGAATCTCGGCTTTCACCATGAGGCGTTATAATTCTTCTGAATGAAGATCCTTCAAATCGGTCAGAGTGTAAATGATTTAATTTGTTAATTCTGGTTAGTGTTCTTTTAGTAAAGTTGTTTTCTACGAGATGGGGTTGTTGACCCCATGCCTAACTCTCCTTTTTACCCGATCTTGTGACCGACAGTGACCCTAGAAGAGTTACAGGCGAAGTTATCTATTGATGATAGTTCGGCTGAATTTCGATCAGTTAGGATTTGTGAGTCCTGTTAGGACTACCTTGATATAGCCATTATGTTGCAAGTATTTTTTATAGAATAGATAGAATGTGGTTAACAGTGAAAAGTAGTACTCGTGTTTCGATCAATTTGATAATGCTTTTGTTTACAACAGACACAGAACAAAGTAAATTAAAACTCGTACCCCGTTGTACAAGTGAGTAACTACCTAAACTCAGCAACTGAACGGATAAAACGTTAAACATTTGAACACGAAGGTACTGAATCGGAATTTTAGAGTGAATATAAACTCTAGGATCCAGCTGGCGAGTGACTAATAAATCAGAACGTCCATGCCATATTCCAGTGCAAACTACATTCCACTTATTCTTTTAAACCAAACTTAAATGAATTAGTAATGTTGTAATCAATAGGTATTGTGGAAAAATAGGCATGCCAATACAAGAGCGATTAAGATCAGTTGTAGTCATTTTTAGTACATTTCTGAAGATTCCCTTCAGAGCTAATAATATCCAATAACTCTGTGTTTCAGTTATTAATTTCCTAAGAGTATTGACACTCGGTAACAGTATTTTGTAGTTAATACATGGGTACAATAACGTATAGTTAGCTAAAACATATATCATATGTTATGTGGAGTATTATAGCTGTGAAATGGTGTCGGTGATGACTTACCCAATTTTACTTCTTTCATCCAAGTTTGTTCTAATCCAAGTATTATTTACCGACGTTGGAATTTTTTCGAACAAGGGCAGATATGATCTACTAACGGTATGGCTCAGTAGAACAGAAGATGGTTGATTTATAATTATATTTTGTTGATCAGTAACTTAAGATACAATTTGGAATGAAAGTCGATGCCAAATCTAATTTAGTTTTATATTCCATACCTTAATATCTATATGACCAGATTCTTGCATAATCTTATTACCTTAACACCTATTATTCTTTGTTGTTTTCTATATGATTTACTAGTTTGGACTTTTCAAGAAACCATCATTTTGTTTTGCATGAAAAATTTGATATTGCTCTGATGTAACATTAATTATTCTTCACATCATGCAATAATTAAAATACAAAGAATGTATAATGTTCTTGTCAGTTTTTGTATATAATGAAGGCGCGATATTAATAAACCATCAGTTAAACAAAAGGGTAATAGAGCTATTCATTTGATGTTAAAAAAAGATATTTAAATTTATCAGCGAAAAAGGTTTGTCATGGTAGTAGCTTTTATGATTAGCCTATATTTATTTTTATTTAAACAAATAAACATTGGTACAAGAAGACACCAAACAGGTATGCGCTACATAAACCATTCGATCTGTGCGAGGGCTGGGATACTGCTCGGGTGCCCAAATCAAAGCAGGTGGTTTTCTTAGGGGGCCACACCCCAAGCTCTTGACCTAAAGGTCTAATCCACAAGGCGATGGAGCATCGTAAGGAGATGCAGTCCCATGGTAGTCAGTGAACAACAATAGGTTCATACGCCATTTGTTTCTTTAGGATCATGGAGCCCACGTGAACCATTGTTTTGGAATAAGGGTTTTCCAACTCCCCTGGACGAATCCTCCGTATCCAACAACCCGATTAAAGCGCCAGAAGTTCGCTCTTCGTCCTCTCAATTTCATAAACAAGACCCCCGCCGCGAGAGGCCAGTTAGTAGGATTTCCCTGACAGTGGTTGTATGCACGTGGACACTTGAGATCATTTCGAAAGGGAGAGCTAACTTTCCCAATCTCTGCCGTACCAAGGCATTTGGGAGCAATTAGCTTATAACTGATATTACATTCTTTTGGTAAATCCGTGTCAAAATTTATCTACTGTTTATTAATAAGTAGCCTCTAAAAGAGAAATGGAAAGCAATAAGCGCGGAGGTCATTTAAAGTTGGGACAAAACGATTAGCCACCATGATCATATACGCTATCCAAGCTATATTGACTGAAGCCACAAAACCTTTACCTTTGTTTTTCAAATGAGCGGTTTGTTAAGGCCATCAAAAGCACCTAAGACTTAGGTGTTTTAAGTTCAGTTCTGTCTTAGTCAGTACTTTCATCTAATCACGAAAAGTTAATAAAGAACGAGAATTTGTTCAGTGCTAAGCTGTTTCATCTGGTTATCAAGCTGATATTAACTTAGTAGTAAATTGAGAACAAAGATTTAAGCTAGTTTTCCTCGTAATATGTGAAACAAACACATAATTTTAATTCTATTTACATTAGTGAATATTATAACACATTTCAACTACCATTTTTAATAATTTGAGTGTTAAGAGAAGCTCATGTTTTTACGTTCAATGAATGTATTAACCTATTCACAGATATTTTTCGCCTTAATTCACTATTCAGAAGACTTGTTATCAGACTATTCCTGTGAAAAAGATACTACTAACAGAATTTCTGATGGTATGAACCTTTTCGACTAAAGTAGGAAGTATGGTGTATTGATGTCTTGTGAATCTTGTTAAAAAATGATTGTCGACAGAAAAATTAGTTTTAACAACTTAGAAGCATTGTTTAGTTGAATGTTCAACAGCTATTAATGTTGTTTTAAATATTAACTACAAATCTATTTAAAGGTTAATTTAGTAAAGCCTGCTCAATTATTAAGGATTCTTACATTTGAAAAGACCAATCGTCGTGTTACGATGGTAAAGATCAACATGGTTTGGAGACACATACAGAATAACAACTGGATTAACAAAGAGTTGCATCTGATATAAATCTTTTTTATCTCACCTCAACTAATCGCTTCTTCAGATTGTTACGGCAAGTAAAGTAACTGGTAAGCAGTGCTGAAGACGTTAGGAAGATGGTGGCTTACATAAATAAAATTAGTGCTACGGTACTATAAATTTAATATTCACACCCAGCTCATCATAATTGAAAACTCTATCATACCTCCACCCTATACACCTCTGACATCTGTAGTCCTACAATAATATTAATTTAAAAAATGATATCATCAATCGTTGTTGTTTTAAAATGGATATAAATGACAATAATTTGTAGCAAAATTACCTTTTCCATAAAAATGAACTATAGGAAACGCGCATCTTCAAGTTGTGCTTCTGGTCTGAAAGTAGTTAAAACTACAGAAAACCTATTACTGAGAATGGTGTTTGCAGTAGTATTTTCCTCTCATGGTGAGTTAGACATTTTTGTCGACGAAATAATAGTCGCTACTTAGCTTAAATACTCATTTTTGTAAATTGGAGCTTAATATTTAGTATTTAGACAGTAACTGATAAGTTCTACCGAAAGCTATGTCAGGTGTTCTAATTTTAGTGGTACCAGATGATATTAACATTGTGAAGAGCGGTTTTACCGCGAGTATTGTGCCTGAGTGTATTTCAATCCATAATAATGTCAAAATTCTGTAACAGATAAATTAGATTAGATCAGCTACTTCAAAATGCCTCGAGTAATTTTGATGCAAAAATAAGTGTCTTATTGACTTTTTAATCGTTCAAAGTTTGAGCCTTGTTATCATTAAGAACTAAAAAACTGACTTGAAAGTCAGCGCTATTGATGCTTTGGGTTCAAATATAACACAAACAGAGCATGATAAATAATTCATTTAATAACTTAGTAATTTTATTCCCCAATAAGATATGTTCACTCTAATTTAAGTATGAACATAAGAATAGTGATCAAGTACGTACTGATGTTTGTTAATTTTAAGTAAAATAGTTCACTGTAAAGCTGGGTGACACGAGATCGAATCCGTTAGAGAGAATCGGTCCTCTCAAGATTACAAGTACACCTTGCTAACAAGTGTCAAGTAACACGAAACCTAGGTCTAGGGTTTCCTGTTGACTACCAACAACCACCATCTCAGTTCACTTTCTACATTTATTTTGATTATATTTAGAGAAAATTAAATAATACTATTACAGTATTTAATGAATTCTTTTAACTATTATATATATATATATATATATATATATATATATATATATATATATATATTAGAAACAGATATACAAATAGGTATCATTACCAAGGTTTGACTTGATAATTTCGAATAAATTGAGTATTAGGTAGATTGTTATAAATATATTAATATATTTGTAATATCCCAATAAGTAGAAAAATTAGATTTTCTGACGTTTCGTGACTTAGTGTAAGCCGCTTCTTCAGATAAGCTGACTATTGAGAAATAATTACTCATTTTCAGATACATCAGTTTCATTGAACTTAATTGACTTTATTTCCAGTTTTCTTGTAACTATAAATAAGCAAATAATGAGAAAGTAAATTATTTATTTTTTTTAAAAACGACCGAGAAAAAACAAACAAGCAAGAAAGATAACTACAGATTGATAAATGATTATTTTAATTACATCTTACTGTTAGTAATATATTGAAAAAAATTCATTGTAAACAAAACTCCTATATAGTCTTAAAACTATCTGCTAAACGTCAACTATAGTCTAATGTAAATAAATAATATATTTGTAATATTCCAATGAGTAAAACAACTAGATTTTCTGACGTTTCGTGACTTGGTGTAAGCCACGTCTTCAGAGTAAAAATAACGAAATCAAAATAAATCCAAGTTTAAACTTGGGATATTATAAATATATTATTTATTTATAACAATCTACTCAATGGTCAATTTATTCAAAATTATCAAGTCAAACCTTGGTATTGATACCTATGTAGTCTAGTGTTGTAGACAATATGACTTTATTTATTAAATTTCATTTGAAATTTTTTCGTGAACCTCACCTGTAGAGCTGAATATGTTTTGTTAAGATTAGAGTAATATATTCAGGCCATTGCTTAGAAATATTATATCTCACGCAAGTTGTGATCAGTATTGATTTTATTCAGTAGAATGTAACATAATATACATTCAACAGATATTGTGAGATAAAGCTTAAATATTTTGAGTTTAGACAATTTATAAATATCAGTTTTGTTTTCAATTATGGTCTTTTGTGGGATATTTAATCACTTAGTTTAATCATGACCTCTTCATTGTGTAAATTGTTTTTGAAATGTTTTATTCTCTTATAATTGATCAAGTGAATAGATATTCTATTATCTTTTCGACACCTTATTCGTATTCTAATTACATTCTGACTATTAATGTGCTTGATTCAATTGCAATTACTTATCTATGAAGCACTATTAAATTATGAAAAAAATGAATCATATAGCTCATTAACAAACTAATTCTAAAATGAAAATAGACTTATTTCATAAAATTTAATTTTGGCTAACCTTGATAATGCCTTCAAAATATCTTCAGTTTTCTTTGCTTGTTTTGAATTAGCACCGAATGTGAATTGTTCAAGGTCAAGACACTGTATTTATGGTATTTATTGAAAGTAAGATAGATAAGAAATGAACTTCTATACAATGAAATAAATTTTTGAAGAACAAAAACTCTTAATATTTCATTTCATTAAACGTTTGATTTATAAAGAAGTATACCGTTTTTCTAATTAAGTAGTAACAGGTGAATTAACTTAAAAGTTTTTTAATATCTAACATTAACTGAAGATTGTTCAGATTTCATCAAAAGAGAAAAAAATAATTGAAACGAAGAAAGAAAAGTTAAATTATTAAAATAAAATAACCAACAAATTTAGGGCTATAAAATAATGAATAGCAAGAAAATACACTTCATACTTGCTACACTATTTTTTAACTAATTTTCAACAACCAATGAACCTGAAAAAAAAGTTTTTTATTTTTTATATGGATTAGATCAACAATCACAAACTTTGTGAATATTTTGACATTTTAAATATGTGCACTTCAACCACTGTTATTACTTTATTTCATGAAAGTTCATGGTGGTTTGGTTTTACAATTTTATCAACTCAGTTATTTTCTTTGAGGTAGTATCTTCACCACCAAGATGTTTAATCCGACGTTATCATTATATACGTGTAGTGTTTTAAAAAGCACGAAATTTAATATATATTTATAATGGTATCTTTACATTTTGCAGACTGCACTCGTTATGGGTAGATGCAGACTGCCTGGTTGGGGTTCGCGTGACTATCGTAACCAATGGTTGGAGACTCTTGGTGACATGGCTCAGAATCGATCACAATGGCGTCGGTGTATACACTCTCTGTTTTCCTTCAAAACTAAGAGATTAAAATCACTTCATATCTTTCTTTATACGAACTAATTCTTTCTTCCTGTACTATCTCCTTATATGAATTCTTTCTTCTATATATTACCACCACTGAATTAACTACTTCTATGAATCCGGTGTTAATCTTGTTGTGCTAAGGCGGTATGGCGACTTGGACCGATGCATATATGTGCCTGGTCCTACGTTGCAGCTTACTGACTCGTTATGGATACATGCAGAGTACGAACATTAGTAGGTACCTGAAACTCATGTCTTCTGTTTAACATTCAGATATCTAGCACGAGTCAACCGTTAATAATTTGCTTTTATCGGGTTAAAAATGAAGTTAATGTTAGTGTTTTCCTACATTTCGCTTGTGTTTTGTAAGTAAATCCTTTCTAATCATTTTTTTGACCTTTATTTAATATAATTGGTGACCAATAATTGTATTATATCCACTTAATACTATCAGTCGCGTATCAGCTTGTCAAACTGATAAATTTCTGAAACATTTCAAATAGCTCATTTTTTATACCTTCGTGTTATTTCGTTTTTCTAGAAAGATATTGAACGTTCCATAGTTTAACATTTCTGGTCAAAGAATATGGACAAATTAGTGAATTCTTTAGATAAACTATTACTTCTACAAAGAATAAAATAGTGAATCTTCAGATCAAACTAAAGTATTTTGTACATACCATTTCAGCTTGATTAATTGCTTCAGCAAAATTTTCTTGAACCATGTTAATTGACAAGATTAATTTATATGTCTTTATTACTTGGGTACTATACATTCCAAATGTATCTTCTTGAATATTTAAATTTTCTTCTAATAATTTTAAAGCTTCCTAAAATTACATAAAATTGGATTTCATTTTACATTAATCAAAGTAGTAGTCACATAATTATAGTAATAATAATAATCATATAAATACCAAGAAAACTCTGCCTAATCCAAATAGTTCATCTAGATCCTTAAAAAAATAGAAACAGTTAACTATTTTTCATGATAAATTAAATTACAAAATTATATTCTAGTTTAGAATTTATGCTTTTTTCTAACAAGGTCAAGTCACAATCATCGATTAATTATTTGTGCTTACATTCACTTCTATTTCACATAGGATGAATTAAGTGTTTTAAGTAATGAATACACAATAAACATCGTTCAGAAATCGATGAAGTAATTTACATCAAAGTATTGACAATTTGTACGAGTTGTTGCATGATGACGAACAAACATTACAGATTTAAATTGAATAAGAAGATGAAGATTATCATAACTATTTCATCTTCCTAGTGTACGATTGAAATTTATCAAAGGGACTAGTTGCTTTAAAGTGAATACTTATAAATTAAAAAATATACTTTGCACGTATTCGTTCTGAATACTCTCATTGAAAATAAAATCATATACATGAATGAGAACAATATTCAGTAACAGTATATCTTAATAAAATATGCTTTGGTCGTTAATATGATCCAGTAATGAAATTAATATTAATTCAGCTAAATTGTTAGATTTCGAGTCATTAATTAATTAATCTTTTTTATTTAGCACAATTACTTCATATTTAACTCCGCCTGGGGCCCCTCTGGGGCTACTGCCAGTCTCAAGCCCGGATAAAGGAGGAGGGTTGAGCATGGGGTTAGCGACCCCATCCCGTAGAAAACCAACTCGCTAAAGACAAACGCTAACCAGAAAAAATTATTCAAACTACTAAGTAACTTCAAATTTGATAAATAGAATTTCTATACAAAACAGCTCTTAATATAAATTTTCGTAATATGAAATGATCGAAAAGATATGTAGTTCAAATGAATATTCTGTTGATGTTGTGTTCTCTCCGTTAGATAGTTTGATTATGAATCTCCTATAGCCACTCTGAACAACATAATTGCTTTATTCACGTAGTAATCTGTTTTCCATTTGACTCAATGATAGTAGGACAATAATGATGTTAAAGAAATGTAAATTACTTAATTGTCGCACCATATATTCTGATGACTCAACAATTCTAAATCAAGGCTATCTCAGAAGTTGTAAAACGAATGTATTAGATACAAGTATTTCATTCATTTGTTTACAGATAGATGACTAGATGAACTACTCAACAAATAACAAGTGACTCATTAGAAAAAGGTACAAGTATATAATCACATCTCTACTATCATACACACATTCTCAAGGTCACAAGTATAAAGAACAAAATGACTAAAAAGAACAGAATAATCCAACTGTCCAAAGGTTGGAATAAATCACGTAGGCGTGTAAAAATACAGATTGTTAAAATAGACTCTGATACTAAAATGTTGTACAAACAAACAGTAACAGATTCATGTAACACAACGTCAACAAAAGTACGTGATATCACAAAAAGTTAATCCCCTATTATTACAGAATTAATAGCAAACGTTACATATGATGTGTATGTATGTTTTTGAGCTTCCTTCAGAAAAACCCTGAAAGACTTTCATAATCTTTCGATTCTGTATCAGTTAGTTCAGATACAGTTTCGAACGCCTCAAATTGTTCTAAATTTTTTAAATAATGAATTCAACATTTGAGACGCATCAGTACCAATACATCTTTATGTAGATAGTATTATCCTCCATTTCAGTCTGGATAATCTATCAAAAATTTATCGTGACAAAATAGTTTGCGAAGATTTGTTTAACAAATTCTAATGAATTTGGTAAATAAAGGAGGAACGAATTGAGCGAAGAAGTTTCTTTTCAACTAGTTTTTCATCATGGCTCTACACTAATATATATGATTTACAATAATGATATAATACTCATCGAGTGGGTACGTTACATAATAACTACACAATGACATTTAAATTAACATTGAGTAATTGGAAGAAAGATTATTATTGATATTCAAAGTAATTATTAAATCAAGAAGTTGCTACGTTGCATAATATATGAAAAAGAGAATTAAGAGATGAATGTTGAAAAATTAAAGTTCAAAAACAACAAAATAAAATTAAAAATTACAAGAAACAGACGGAAGAAGTATGAAAAATAGTTCTGTTGAAAGAAATCTTATACCGATGGCCAAGGCAGTGAAAGTGGTTGTACAAATTTCTTTTGAATGCAAAGGTTAGGTTTGTGAACACGGATTGCAATGGCTTCCGCAATGTGCAAAAGGCGCACTCGTAAACCATGTGGCAAATTTAATGGGATATGGTAGATAACCTTAAAAGCTTTATTTAATTCAACTTGATGACCTGTGTCAACCAAATGAGCGAGAATAGAACTTCTAATCACTTTCACCTGTCCTTTGCTCTGTAATACGATGACGAACTTGCCGAATTGTAAGCCCTATATAACTGGCTCCACAGGAGCAGTTGAACTGATAGATGCACATAGATTTGGCGAATTCAGGCAGTCTGTCTTTGTTGGCCGTTCTTATTTTAGGGTGGTTGTAGAAGATAGCATTCAGTCTGGCTGCATTAAATGTTTTTTGTACAGCTCTTTTTAGTTTCTGAGTCACGATTTCTTCAGTAGTATCATTTATGAATTGTAATTTTATGGACAGTACCTTGTTAGGGACGGTAAGTATCTTTGCCCTTGTTTTCATCCCCATCATAAGTTTGTCGATGAATTTCATAGGATATCCATTCATACTAAGTAAGTTCCGAATTTTAGCCAATTCTTCTTCAATGGTGTCTTCCGAACAAATCATTCTGGCACGATGAGTCAAGATCTTTATCAAGTTCCTTTTTTTATCTGATTGGAACTGCACTGTAGAAATGAGTGTATTGTCCTGTAGTAGACTTTCTGTGTACACCTCTTTTTAAAGTTCCATCCGCTCGTCTAGTTAGTTGGACGTCTAGAAATGATATGCTATTGTTCTGTTCATCTTCTGATGTAAAATTAATTGATGGATGAACGTTATTAAATATATTAAGTAAATTGTCCTTATCATGTTCTTTTTCTAATACTACGAAAGTATCGTCTATATAGCGATAATAAGTTGGTAAATGGCTAATTGTGCTTTTAAGTGGTCCATTTTCCAGTTTTGCAAGGAAAATATCCACCAGTAGAGGGCCCAATGGTGACTCCATGGCAACTCCATCTAGTTGTCTATAATATTCGTTGTCAAATCTGAATCGGACATTCATTGTGCATTTAAGAATTAACTGTTTTAATGTGGATGTAGGAATTGCGGTTTCTATGCGCCTCACTGTTCTTTGAAAATAAAATCTACCGTTTCAAGTAGTGGAATGTTAGTGAATAAGGATGATACATCAAGTGATATCATGAAATTATTCTTGACCGGTAGATTTTTTATATTCTCCACAAATTCAAAGGAATCCTTGGCACTATGCTTGACAATTTCTTTGTGTAATGGTTTGAGAATTTTCACTTACCATTATGCTATCGGCGGCCTGCTTGAATATCTGGGCTACCTGTTCCTCTCATCTAGATATTTTGTCGAGCTATCTGTTTTCTTGTTTGTTTTAACACACTATTATGTTTATTGAGCTCACAACCTATTCAGGCGCGTTTATGAAAAGCTTACAACCTTTCGCTGTACGGATTACAAAAACGTACAACCAGCGACATCATGGTGGCTTGCAATATGCATTGAAACGAATGAACATTATTCAGATGTCGATTATCGAACTCCTAACATCTAAATGGCCATCACTCAATATTTATCGTCAGGATCGATCAAGATTTAACAAAAGGAAACTTGTTGGAATACTTTATGCTGAGAATTCAATATTGTACCAAAAATATAATGTTGAATAAAGCTTATAATAATAAAAAAATATATATAGTATGATAGGCTGAGTTATTCATATCTAAAACTGGTCGAAGGGGCAAGCCACTTTTGTGTATTTTTGGTAGGCCATATAGCCTTGGTGCAATCGTTCCTGTAGGTTTCAACATTTCGAACTCTTTTTCAGAAATAAAACCTTGTTGTTTAATTTCTTTCAGTGAGTCTGTTAGTTGCTTTTCAATCTTGTCTACTACGTCGTTCTTCAAAACCAGTTTCTGAAATTTGTTTTTATCATATTTCCATCTGATCCAGGTCAGTACGTCAGTCATTTACAAATATTATATTCTTTTGATTTACATATTTTTATTTATGTAAGAAGCCACGTGGATATTTTGTTTCTAACTACTCCATATGGAAATTCTTAATTTCTACTAATTCTTCATTAAACTAGTTGGACATTGAATTAGCAATTGAATAACTCAGTGGAACATCTGAAGTATCGTTGAATATAAGCTAAGATTAAAAGTAGAGATCAACATGAGCAATCATACTGTGAACTATTACAGATAACATACACAGTAATTTTGATTACTTGAGCATCTTCAAAAATGTCTTGGAGAGTTAACGTACTAGTTATGTTCATAAGACCCGGGAAAATGAGATTATCTCCATAAAGTTACTTACGTCACCGCAACATTTGACATTCCTACCACCATTTTGGAGTTACGTGACTTCATTCATTAATAAGATGCTCCAAAGTAACTATAAAAAGTACTACCTATTATCTAATCCAAATAATAAAATGTCTCAACGAAAAAACCATCTACAAATGTAATTTCGTTCATTTAATAAACGTTTTGTAATAATTTAGAAGAATCTAGGCTCAGATAGATGTTTTTGGTTCTTTTATGCTCTCTGAGCTGGTCCTCAAGGTTGTTTTACAACAGGTCATCAAGCCAACAGAATGCAGTTAGTGATGAATAATTTTTAAATAGTAATTCATACAATACTGTCTTAGTGATTCATTCATTAAATGAGATCATAAAAGCCGATTATCAATTAAACATCAGTTTTCCTCCAATTGCTAAATATTCTGAATAGATTTTATATGAAAAAGATAACACGTGACTTTTGATTTTACTTTTTCATTCAAGTAATTGATCGTTGTAGTAAACAAATCAAACAGTTTCAAAGTAAGATGATTGAATATTGCATTCAAACTACTAACTAGAATTTCACTTTCTTATATTGCTTATTAGTTGGTAAGTTATATTGCGAAAAACAATGGGAGAAGATTTATCTTTGAAGTCAATAAATTACTGTTTCCTTTAAAAGAAATATTCATCAGTATTCATGAATTGGCAGAATAAAAATGAACAATTAATAATCTTTTTGATTTAGATCATGAACCAATTGGTGTTAGACCACCATTGAAAACCGTCCGATGCTTCCAGGTTTTCAATGGTGGTCTAACATCAATCGATTCATGATCTCAATCACAAACTTAATAATCTCCACAACCCTATACTGATAATTATTAATTTGTGGTGAAATTTCTTTTAACCACATTAAATTCATTTCGAATATGATCAAGAATTTCAAATACGTCAACCTTAAAATGTAAATTCAACGTCATTTGGGTATTCCAACATTGAAAATGATGCTATATTATGATATAAAATTGAATTGACTTACTTGGAAACGACTTGATTTTATATAAATTTTTATTAATAGTGAGCGTAATGAACAAATTAAATTTACAAGATATTCATTAGAGTATTCATAAATTGAATCCAAACACTGATCTGTTACACATTTGATATGATCATTATCGTTATCTAGTGAATTAGTTTTTATTCTCATTAGATCAACAGATTCATCTGAATTATTATCGACATGATATTCAATGGAGTTTTGATTGTTTTTTTCACTATAGGTATTTAACATTTGTAACATTTCACCAAGGAGATGTTCAGCTATTAATCATAAGGAATACAAATATATATATGATATGAATATAGAAAACCATACTGTAAATCAGAATATTATATTCAGAAACTATCTAATATGTATATCTATTGAACTTCAGAAAATATTTCTGGCCGATATATATTGTATAAAAATGCCTGTAAAAGTGATGTTTTAATCAAAAGATTTCTTGTCAACTTTACCAAGTAAAGAAAATTATTAGAGTATAGGATAGATAATCTATTCATTAGATGAAAATGATATGTTCTGTCTACAAGTCACCAGAATACATTTTGGTTAATGAGCTTTTCCAGTTGATATTTTTTTGAGAACAAACCTCTAATAAATAATATTTAGACCCGTTATTATCACAATTTATTTCATTTTAATGACTATTATTAGAGGTTAATGGAAAATCTTCAATACACTGAACCGAAATTCATCTGTTCACTAACACGTTGATGACATGAATTAATAAGTTTATCTGCTTTACTAAAGATGTTTGACAGCATTTTTTTAGCATCACTTAACGGCAAGATAAATTCATAGGTTTTAGTAATATGATAGAAGGTAAAAATGATGAATGATTGAAAACTGTCAGTAAGCCAAAACTTAGTGTTTAGTATTGACATGATGAACACAATGTGAAGTAAATCTGGCTGTATTAAATTACCTTCTAAGTATTACATATCTAACGAAATAAGAGGGGGATTAAATCATTTTAACATCAAATAGAAATTACATATAAAACATTTTTGTTACTCATTTGAATCTCTTTAAAACAACTACTTAATCCAAATATAGTGGACTATAATTTTTACTCTTAAAAGGATGTTATAATAACTGAATAGTTTGAAATCTATACCAGTTCATTAACAAAGAACACCTAACTATAAATAAAACACTAATTATTTCTTTGATAATACATATTAATCCACATTTTATTGATATTACCAATATTTCAAAGTCAAATTATTATCAAGACAAAATTTGGTATCCTCTAATTGAATGTATGATACTTTATGTTCTAAATCAGAGTTTCTAAAAAAATGTTGTCTAAATTTAAACAAAGAGTTTCATAATAACTGAGCGTCGAGTCAATTTAAGACATTATATATATATATATATATATATATATATATATAACAATATTAACATTTGATGTTTCCTGAGAAAAACAAATTATAAATAAATAAAGCTCATTTTAAAATAGAATATTTATTGGCATATATTTTTTAATACAAACGTACGTTAATTATATATAAATAGAATAAATAGATTATGTAATATTATTCTGCATTACATTACTACTCACTATCATCCAAATTTAAATTGAGTTTCATGTAAACTGTACACAATAGATAAACTGAACGAATAAGGTCAACCATGGAACTGAAACTTTCTTCTTTGTGGTAACTATATGTATTTTCCAGAAATAATAAAACTATATATCATGATCATAAAAAAACTATTGACTAAGTTATAAAAAAATTACTTTGGAAATGATTGAGTAATAAATAAGTCTGAATAAGAAATTAACATTATGTCCCTATTCTTGTAATTTTTACATTGTCTTAAAATATGTTTTAATGAGCTGCGTAAAGTGTTTTGCTATGTGTAGTTATTGTTAAAGGTTTAAAAAAAGTCCAACGCCAAAAATCAGTTTTTAATTTGTCACAATCCACATCAAAGTAGAAATTTTAAAAGAAATGAACAGAATGAATAAGTGAAAAAAAGAAAATAATCTCAATAATGATAGAAAATTTAGCATGGATAAAACTTTAAAATAGGTAATACAAAATCAAGGGGATGAATGGTCGATTGTAATACCTTATTCAAAATAGTGTTCATCAGCTTAATTTTCAATAACATTGGGGTATGTTATACAATTTTTTTAAAAACTAAAAACATGCATGACCTATTTTCCCAACTACTTAGAATAATGAATGTGTCAAAAATTACAAACTGTTTTACAAACTTTGCTTAGAACTCTATGTTCAACGTTATTTATTGTCAATCAGGAACTCTCTGAACATATATTCTAGATTTTATGTCCAACCGTGTTCGACAGTGTAGTTTTCTAAAAATTACTTTATAAAATTCCATACAGTTGTAGTTATTAAGTATTTGTTAGTCAGACACTATCAAGCACAAATTTCTAGAACTATACAATGATGATTAAATGACATATTTGGAATAGAGTAGATCTGAGCATAGCAGATGCTGAAACAGTCTAAATTAACAAGTACTGGTAGTATCAGTTTTGCGTGACTCAGTTTTTTGTCAAAAAGACAGTGATCGATATCAGACGAGTTACAAAAGTTTCCATTCATATTTCAAAATTACAGAGCGCCTCAGAATGATATTCCGGCCTGTAAGTTTATCTTTCAACATTCAATCTGACATCCTGCTAGTATGTCGAATATATAATATATTCGGAAATATGAAACAAGACCTTTTATATTTGTGTTGAAATGAAAAACATATAAAGATTGAGGTAAAATAAATATTTAAATAGTTGAGCCTATTTACCAAGAATATTTTCAAGAAAAAATATAGCTACCACAACTAATAAATGAAAAAACTCACATTTTATTAGAAATTTCATGGGCATTCTTAAAATAGTCTATAGATCTTTTCATATCATCCTCATTACTTTGATATTCTTCAATCTGGAAAAAACGAGAAAACTACAGGACAAAATTCATCGAATATAAATAGATCGATTTGAAAATGATTAAATTCTATATAATTAATCAAGATTTGAATTATCATGTATACCCATTTTTATAACCTATTTTCTATCTAAGCATAGATGGATAGTGGCTAGCAGTGGGATTTAGGACACGCGTTTCGTCCTGTTTGGAATTCGTCAGCTGGATGCAGGGAGGCAGGTACATCCAACTGATGAGTCTCAAGTAGAAAGAAACGCGCGTCCTGGTCTCCACTGCTAGCTACTAACCGTTTTTGCTTAGAATACTTGTGAATCAAGGCAATATGCACATATACCAATAAGAGACTGATCAGTTGAAGTCCTAAAAGTTCAAACAACCAGTATAAAAATCAATTATTTTCCATACAGTTTACAGAAATGTAGAGAATAGTATATTTGATTTTTGGTTCAAAGTGGAGTCAGTTTTATTTCAAATCGTAGTTCAAAATATACTGAAACTTATAATTAAGATCAGTTTCGAAGCAATCATCTTATGATGCTCATTTACCAAGATAGATTGATCATTTGTGATGCTTAATAGAAACGGTAGGAAAATTGAAACCTGTTAATATAAGTAAAGAGTTTTATAGACAACCTAGAATAACAAATCAATTGTTTATACTTGAATTAAATTGCTTTTTTCTGGTTGATGTATGTATAGAGAGTTAATTTTTTTATTGGATCTAAAGCAAAACAATATACGAACGGGGTAAAAAATATTTTCAAGTCTAAATATTTCCTGACAAGCACAATGTTTTACATGTTCACTGTCAAAATGATATCATTTATTGATTTAAAAAAAAGGATTATTAGGGATCTAAGTTTGATTGTTTTTTCCTACTAAGTCTAGTTTGTACCATTATCTCTTCAGTAAATATGTGATAAGTCCCAGTCATTAGAATAAATAGAAATGCGTAATCAAAATAACAAACGGTATTTATATGAAGCCACACAAATTATATGTACGATTTTAGATGATTTAATTAAATCCACTCCATTTAAATATAATTTTAATCCGATATTTCATATACAGAAGGAATACTTACATTTTAAGAGTTATCTATTACCAACAAGCTTAATTTTGTAGTTTGCTGTACCACAAATATATAAAACTTCAGTGAATTTTGTAGTCGATTTGTGTATTTTTGAAAGATGTGTACAGTTTGTTAGAACCGATGACCGTGATTAAATTTATGTTTTTACAAGAACCGACTTCTAGGATTTCCAACTAATGACTTTACTTAGTTTCCTTAGCAAAATTTCAAGTGATAAATGTCAGCCAACTATATTTCCAATTGACAATGTTTATGCGTCATTAAAGGTCAGCAATTTATGTTCAGACACATCGTAGTAAAATCTTGAATTGAGTCCAGCTGTCTTGAACCAAATGGCCATAATAATTTGTAGAATAATACAGTAAATATTTAAAAGCTATATTTAAAACTCGTATTATTTCGTAGCAACAAGTTAAAACTTCTAATATTTTATAGATTATAATACTACTTTCTTGTGATTGACTGCGTAAGACATTGAAACTTAGATTTATCCTGAAAGGTGGTGGATCAACAAATTGTAGATACTAAACAAGTATTAGTAGCCGATAAAGCATTTGAGTGTTTATCTCGTTATAGTGAAACAATTGAAATGATCAACGGCTTATACGGCAGATGCTAACAAAGAAGAACCGACAATCCACTTTCAATCAATACACTGGAATGTATAACGAGGGTCCTTGTAACATAATTTAAATACATTTTCCGTGTTTTCAATTTTCCATCCTCGAAACTTTGATTTTCAGTAGATAGAGTGAGATAGCATAATATTTCAATGCTACATAAGTGTTCATTTGCTAATGTACTGTTGAACTACTTCTTTGTAAAGAATGTTAAAACCAATTCATGAACCACTCATTTTTTATGATGACAAAGAAGAGATTTTACTTAAGATCAAGATTATGTTGTCACGTTTCCTAAACTGAAAGGTCTAAGCACAAATCCCTATCAACTTCTTAATGTGAGATACCGTAATTAACTTGAATAAAAGTCTAGTAAGAGAGAAAAAGCTATACAACTGAACTATCAACATAACATCTCTAAATAAACTGACTTTTTATCAAAACGAATGAGTTGTTAATATCAAAACTAACACTTACATGACCAAGTGCGTGATAAACTGATATCATTTCTTTACTCTCTGGACCATATGTCTTCTCGATGAATTTCAATGCTTGCATATATTGATCAAAAGATACAACATATTTCTCACATTCAAATGCAATTCTAAATAAAGTGCACGTAATATTTATAAACATTAAAATAAACGGTTCACAGTGAAAACAACACTTGAATCAAATTCATTTATTGCAACTATCATCTTTTTTCCTTATGCATTTGAACACATTTAGGAGGAAATAAATTTTTAGCCCATTTATTTTAAGTAAATATTGTAAATTAAGATATCATTATAAATGTAAATTTTTAAAAATCGATCTTTTGAAGGAAAACAGCTAACTTAACTCATACGACATCTTATTTCTATCAAATGTATTTAAACGAGAAATTCACAGATAACTGGCATAAACGGAATCGCTAACACTGGCTAAATATAGTGATTGTGTTAAACATCAATACAGAATTGTAGAAATTATTGACTTTCATTGAAATCATGAACCGATCAATGTTTAGTTACCGTTGAAAACCTGAAAACACTGAAAGGCCGTTTCCTCCTAATACAGGACTTCTCAGTAGTGCGCATCTACGACCCCTTACGAAGAAATCGAACCCAAGACCTTCCAAATTTCATACATCATTCGATAGTTCTAGAACAAGTATTGATTATTTGAGTTTCCTCATGGGTCAACTGAGTAAAATATTATAATAATGCATCTAATACATGTAATTCATAGAGATAGTTTGCGAATAGTAAAATACTTACTTTCCATACAAACAATAAATACAAACTTTTAAATTTTGTAAATTTGGATAAAAGTTTTTATCTAATCTCATTAAAGTACAATGATTCCATTGTTGATAATAATTTTCCACGTATCTATCAAATTGTTTCGAATTATCTTCATAATTATCAATATTTTCTAAACTATTATTAGATTTTTTAATTGAATCAATCAGCTGTTCAACTTTATTTAATGCCTTTTCAGCTTGTCTGATTGAACTGAACGCATCTTTTTTCCTGATAAAATAAATGAACGCATATTAGAATAAATAAATGAGAAGACTAAAGTTATAACAACTATGTGATAAATTTGTGGATTATATTTCAAACAATCTGATGACATGATACTTATTAAGGCATTATATATGAAATATAAAAGGTAAACTAGACAAACTGGAAAGTAAAAGGAAACAAAGATAGTAATATAGTACGTTATGTTAAAACTAAGTTGAATAATGAATCAGTATTACTAGCGTAGATTATGGGTTAGAATTAATTGTTTTTAAACACAAAGAAAGATTTACTCTTCCTATACCCGAACCTTCAATAAATGTCAGTATACGCGCTTGAACACTTTTATATGATAATATAAAGGCTGAATTAGTATCAACCTTATAACATTAAGATATAAAAATAGACTGTTCAATTTAACATTATTGAATACTTAAGAAATATTCATAATTAATTCTCAGATGAGTAAAGAAATTTTATTAAAATATTTGATCAGTGTAGAGTTGTGAAGTTTGTTGGCTTTCATCGAAATCATGAACCGATCAATGTTAGTCCACCAATAAAAACCTGGAACTACTAGACATTAACACCGTTGGGTGCTGAGTCAGTGGTATAAAGGTCATATACGTTCGGTTTATTATTCAATATCTTTTAGATGAAAAAAGAATATTTTAAAATGTAAACTACTTATTATGAAATAACTGTATTATTTCACTTTTAGGTTAGTTAACAATCACTTTCGTTTATGTACAACACTAAACACTGTTTGCTTATTATTTTGAATTTCTAATCACCATCCACCTAACTACAACTCTATATGGAATTAAACAGAGGATTCTTAGAGTTTCTGATGGTCAAAATAAGACGAGTAACACTCTCAGCTTCTACTAGCTCCTACATCAAGATTATTTGTAAGCTACTGTGGTTTTTCCAACATTCTTGACTCAAAAGATTCCCAATTATATTAATAAGTCGATCACTTACTTTTTTAAAATTATTTTTGATTTTGCTAATGTATAATAATTCAGTAAAACTATACACAGAATAAGTAAATTAGCACAATCATCAGAATTCTGTTGATTCATTTGCTGACTAGTAGAATTTAAATAATATGATATTAATTTCATGGAGTTTTCAGCATGGCTTTCAGCTTGTAAAGCATATTCTGAATAGAATAAAATATTTATATGATGATAATTACAAATGCCAACAAATATGAAAAAGGTAAATACATTGAAATATTAAACCGTTTTAACTTGTTATAATCGTTCATAGAAAAGGAACAGATAAATAGATAATGTTTGGACAATGACAAAATTAAACAGGCAAGTGGACATGAAATACATAACCATATATCGTTTCTAATATCTTAAGGACCTCAGGTACAAAAATGACATTGACTCAAATCCATGGTACCAGTGGATAATACCTTTTGGCTTGTTTCGATGGACTGGTGTAAAGACAAATCAGTTTCCCAACTTCCTGTCTTTACATCTAAAATTGTTGGGTGAGACAACTAATCACATAGTCATGTTGCCTATGACCTATTTAACTGATTAGTACCAAGATCACAACACCATGAACCAGTCAACTTCAGATTTTAGAATTCTGTGTCAGATTTTACCCTCTATTCTATTATTTTGTGGCGACAGTTGACTAAACTCGTAATCAGAAAACTGTAATTTCATCTAGTCGTTCAATATCAAAGTACATAGACAATAACCAAAAAGTAAAACTTTGCAGAGTGACATGTGATGTTTAAATCAGTTCTAATAGTCTGTAAAGCATGATTATGTCAAGATTAGTAGATAATCGTACAAATAACAAACTGGTTGGGATTTAAAACCATTTGACTTCCTTTTGTCCCATAAATCCTAATGTTTAAAATATTGTATTCATGATTATTGTAACCTATAAGAATGACTTTCATTCGAAACTTTTTTATTTAATATCTTCTAATACATCAATCGAACCACACTTGACGGAGAAGATTTGGAAGATGTACAAACCTTTACATATTCGGGCAGCATCATCGATAAAGATGGTGAATTTGATGCAGATGTGAAGGCGCAGATCAGCAAAGCAAGAGCAACATATCTACGATTGATGAACATCTGGGACTCAAAACAATTGTCAACCAACACCGAAATCAGAATTTTCAATACGAATATTAAGACTGCTCTACTGTATGGGGTGGAAACCTGAAGAACTATGAAAGCTGTCATCGAGAAGATACAAGTGTTTAATAACAGCTGTCTACGTAAAACACCGGATCCGTTGGCCAGACACTATCAACAACATCCTACTGTGAGAGAGGACAAACCAGATTCCAGCGGAGGGAGAAATCAGGAAGAATCGCTGGAAGTGGATAGAACACACATTGAGGGAAGCACTAGGCTGCGTCACAAGGCAAGTTCTCACTGGCGAACCTCGAGGCCAACGGAGAAGAGGAAAACCAAAGAATACATTACACCGAAAAATGGAGAGAGATATGAGAAGAATGAACAAGAATTGGATGGAACTAGAAAAGAAGGCTCAGGACAGAATGGGTTGGAGAATGCTGGTTGGCGGCGTATGCTCCATTGGGAGTAACAGGCGTAAGTAAGTAAGTAAGTAATAATTTAATGTTAATTTTCTAGAATTTCAACAACAACAACAACAACAAAAAACTCACTTTCGCCTTTCCAATTAATATAAAAATAACCAAAACAACATTGATATTGAGCATGATGCCAATCATTTATTTCATAAATCATTCTACTAAATGCAATACATTTACATAACATTTGAAATATAGAATTATCCTTCTACAATAAATTTAATTATTAATAATTTTTTTCATTTTTAAATTACATTTAAACAATTTGAAATATATTCATTTATCATTGTTTCATTTTTTGTTAATTGTTCATTAGGTGTTTGTAAAATATTGACATTCTTTTGCATTATATCCTATAAATAATATTAGTAGTATATCATCAAAATTTAAGAATAACAACGTTTAAATGAACAATTTTATCTTAACAGATAGTAGGATTCGATTGACTCATGATCTCAACTATTGGAATTACTATAATCTCCACAAAACCTCCTCTGATACTAATCAACATATGCTCACTAGTCACTGGCTTCAAGAGGTATTTCCTGGAGTTCTAGTGAGAAGCAGTGACCAGTGGAGTTTAACCGGGTCAGTTGTGAGATAATACTCACTGATGACAATGGTGGATGTATCACTCAACTTCGTGGATTAGTCGAAGTTATACATTAACACCATTGAATGCCGGCTCAGTGGTCTAGTTGTTTAAGCGCCTGATGCGAGACTGATAGGTCCTAGGTTTGAATCCCTCGAGGCGGGGTCGTGAACGCGCACTTCTGAGGAGTCCCACAATAGGACGAAACAGTCGTCCAGTGCTTCTAGGTCTTCCATGGTGGTCTAGCTTCAAATGAATCATGATCTGAACTATTGAGATAGTAGGATAATAATTTAAAGCTTTAAGAAAAATAACATAAGCCTTAGTTGAGATGGTATTCTGTAAGAAATGGGAAAAAATCAAGGTGACAAAATGTTAAAACATGTTATTTATTTTTTTATTTGTTATAAGACTATCTTTCAATAGTTACTTAAATTCAAGGAATGCTATAATGATAACTAAATACCCTTTTAGATTTCTTGTCTGAATATGTGGAAATATTTGACTCTGATAATAATTTCATTTACGGTTAAATCTGATTACATGATTTCATCGAAAGATCTCTACATTATCATTAGTTCATTGAATAATTTACTAAAATTTCCGGATAACAGCTATCTTGTAAATTCTTTTTTTAGTAGTTGACATTAGTCTATCACGATTTAAATTACTATCTATTTTTTTAATTACTTCTATGATATTTGTGTTCTCGGTTTCCATCATTTTTGTGGAGCAAATGAATGATATAACTAATTGAAGATTACAATTATTTATATGTAGAAAAATAAATCAACGTTGCTTTTGATTCGATTACTTTCAAGTGAGTGTTACTGTTACCATACTTGTTTATTTAATTTAAAAAGCATTCGAAACAGTATGCAAGGAGCTGTAAATATTCATGGCTGAATCATTTTTTTACTTTATTGACTTTTACAAACCATAGAGAATCTAAGTTATTTGATAAGCCAGTATAAAATAAGAAACTTGGATGATGAAAAGGTAGTAATAAACACAGGAAATCAGGCATACAAAATGATATGCTAGCCAAGATATAATAAAAACAGAAAGGCACATATATCTAGATAATGAGACTAATTTTAAGACTGTTATTGGAATGATTAACCTGATGAGTTATAAACCTGATATATATATATATATATATATATATATATAATAGTTTTTTAAATTCGGTTTATCAATTATGTTCTTTTAAGACTGAAATAAAATATCTAGTGTCATGTAGAGATTAAGTCATTTGAAAATATTTTGCCGATCAGATATACAAAAAGAACCAAGTTTATTTCATTTTTCAATTGCTTATATCCTGAGTACGGATGCTGAAAAGTGTTTGATCATAATTGTTTTATTTTTCTGTCAGAGACAATACCGACATTAAAGTTTTCGCGATATTTATATTTATCAATAAGATGTATAAATTAAATCAAGTAATAATGAGTTGATAGTATAGTGTATACTACTTGTCTGTCAACACAAGTAGTTTGTAACATCAATCAGAAGTAGAATGATTGGCAGCAGAAGGTTGAGAAAATCGAATTGAAAATAACAGACATGTAAACAGAGAGCAGTTTTAATAATGACAGGCATGAAGGTACGATGAAGTTTGTCAGAGACAACTGATGAAAGTTGTGCAAATTAAATATTTAATGTATGGTTTTCATATTTTATGAAGAAATTCTGTAATTTTATACGAATTCATTAAAATTGGTCCTCTCCACCTTAGTTTTCGCTCACTACAACAACATCAGCTCTGTTATTGTTGTTAGTGAACACTAGCTTACTTGCATCTTTTAGTTTTGAAACTTTTGAACATATTAGTTAAATACCTTGATATAGCATTCCCATTTATTGACCTCTCCTTCAATACTCTAGTGTTTAACTTCATAAGATTATTTACTTACTATCATTCTTATTTTTGTTTTTTATATACATAAGTAGTGAACACAATATGAACTAGTTTTGAAGTTCTAATACATAGAATAAATGGTTGCAAGACCGAATGTTATTTTGATGGGTAATCTACCTATTTATGGTTAGTAGTGATTCTTGACTTGAAGATAAATGTAAATAAATATTCTACATCTTATTGGTACTTTCAAAAATTCAGCAATTTACTCTCTGTAATTCTAGTAAGGGTATGAAGTATTAAACCATTTATACTAACAAGATAAAAAAAATCCACCATTTATTTGCGATAAAATGACTCTTCTAAGCCTTTAAAAACCCTGTGTATTATGTAACTCAAGTGAATAACTTAGTGATTAGAATATATCCCAAGGTTTTAAGATAGTTTTGACGGCGAAACCAAGCATAAACAACTCATTTATGAATTACTCATACACATGAGTTATTTAGTTTGCTGGATAATTTAACATTTTACTCAAGACTAGTTGGAAAAACTGATATTACAGGTATTAGAAAGTGTTCGTTTATTCAATCTTCATTTTTTGAATTCATAAAAGAGAAACGTTATTTGCCAAATAAAACAGAAGCCACTTGCAACCTCGTATATGTAAGTATGACGCAAGAAACCTTTTGTTGAAATGCAGATGGCTCTATGGGTCAACGGAGCTATCGAGATTGGTGCGCCAAACTCGACATTTTGACGGAGAGCGTGCACAGACTGCAGAAAAGAAAGTGGCACGGCGAGCAGAACCACTTCAAGAACAACTGGTTAGAGGAAGGATGAGTATTGTGTGTGCTACTGATGTTTACATATATAAGCAGTATGTATCACCAATTAAATGTGAAATGCCTGGCGGAAGAAGTTTGAGAAAGTCAAAGAGAAGAGAACGAGAACAGAAGGTGATTAGTATGGATACGAAGGAACAACAATGTCCGAGACAATTAATGGATATTTTGCAAATGAAGTATTCATTGTATGGTTCTCATATTTTATCAAGAAATTCTGTAGTTTTACGTTTAAATACATTTCTTTGTTCCCATCCGTATTTCTTTTCACTAAAAAACTGGTGGTACTATATTAAAGCCATAACAAACTTCTTCAGGCGGCCTGGGACCTTTAAATGGTAACTCTCACCAGCTATGCATAAAGTAAATTATTATTTAGTTCTAAACGCTTTTGCAGTCAGTAAGGTATAATTTTTGATCACCTACTTTTTGTATTCTGTATTAATGGATTACCATTCCCATAAATCGTCGGTGCTTTTATATTCAAATGGCCAAAATGTCTGAAAACTAATGGCTAACTTCATCGGTCCTATAATTTAAGCCTAAAGTTAGGTTCCAGTAGTAGTGGCCTGTTATACACCAGTCACAGTACTAGCCACTAGCAAGCTGTCAACAGAACATTGCTTCCATAAGGTCAGGAACATAAATACCTATAAGTAATTACATTCTAAGAACTAAAATTACAGTGGGCTGGCTCATAAGCGATCTCACAGGTTATAGTCACCTCTTAAAGACTCCAAGTACTTAAAGGAAGATTATTTCCGGGATTATTTCCCAAGAATATGGCACATAATCAAGGGTACTGCACCTAATTAGGTGGTCTATATTTTACCAACGATGACACAGTTATACATGTTCAACTTGATTGTACTAGATTAGTGGCAGACCTTGTCAACCTCTTCTATTAAGAGGGTTTAGAATGCTTGAGTGTATCATTTATATTTTAATATAGAAAATGAAACTATCGTATATTGGCATAGCGTACTATAACTGATAACTTTAGAGCCTAAGTGTATTATAATATTGTCTTATTCGGGACCAAAATCTTCGATGACAATAAAAATGATCAGAAAATTAAGATAAAAATAAACTAATGGTAGAATGCTTTTTTTGCATAATATAATTAGAACTTGGTACGTAAGTTAACCGGTTCAAGCTGTCATACTCCAGTAGCGCAGAGAGAAATTTTCAGGCCAAATCCCAGAATAGTAGATGTAGTAACAGTGTCATTGGTAATAGGAAAGATTAGGCATTAAATAAACATTTCGAGAAAATAAAAATTAATGAATTAAAACCAAAACATGTTATGAGAAATTTAGAAGCTAAAAATTGGAGGGAAAACAAGAGTGGATGCATCTGAGCCATTACAAATGATTTTGGGTGACGCTATTTAATTTCTCTAACCATTTGTTATGGTCACTTTGCCGAGCGTTCAAATCTTTTAACGAGAAAATGTTTCGAATTTTATATCCCACCTATGTAAGACCACATTTGGAGTACTGTATCCAAGCAGCTAGCCCATATGCGGTAAAGGATACTAACTCACTTGAGCGTGTCCAGCGTGTGGGGACGAAATTAGTGAAGGGTCTTTCTAACCTCCCTTACGGTGAGCGTTTAAAACGCCTTAACCTCTTCCACTTGTCGTATCGTAGGAATCGAGGTGACCTTATACTGGCATTTCGTATCTTTAATTATGATTTGGGTGTTAATGTCTTATCTTTTTGCTCTCTCCAGCACTAATAATCTCCAAGGTCATAGAAAGAAGGTTCACAAACCGCGATCTAATAAACTTAAAGTGGGAATCCGTTTTTCTCATTGAGTAGTCAATGATTGGAACGCCTTGCCCGAACAAGTGGCATCAGCGCCATCAGTGAATATTTTCAAGGAAAAACTGGACCTTCACCGGAAGGCAATCTGCTAAGATTAACACAGGTTCACCAACCTACCATCCTTGCTACTGAAGGCTGACTAACCACGCACTATAGTGTGTGATAATATATCATTAGATTTAAATGGTCTCAACGGAACAAGAAAGCTGTCACTTAGTCATATACTTCGCCGAAAAAATAAATAGCCTATTATTTAAATATTTTTTTAGTCTTTGTTATGGTGCAAAACACCCTAATCTAACGTTTTTCAGCGTAGTGAACCACAGCATAAACATATTGCGCCAGAAGTTTACTTTTAAAAACTTCTATGTTTGAAGCAACATTACAACCGTAACAGCCAGTTATAACTTATAAAAAAGGTTAACTCAAATGGTTCTGGGCAGAATAGAACAAGCTTGTGCTCAATGTGTTACTGTATCTAGTAGCAATGGATCAACGACTTCTCCAGGTAAGAACCTAGGTATGTTCAACAACAAAGGATAAAATAAAGTTAGTAAATCACAACGAGATGTCGGCCCTCTAAAATGACTTCTGGAGGGTCGCTTGCAGCTATCAGTGCTGGAATTGGAATTTCTTCGTTTGACTACTCTTAAGGAGAAGGTGTGCCTACAGTCGTTCTGCCCAAAACTTTCTGGGTGTTACCCTTAAAGTTTGTGTTGGTTCTAAGTTTAAGTAGGTATTTTAGGGGATTCCCGAAAACTGTTTAGGATGTTGTAAGTCATCGGAAGGTCACCTCTTATACAGCAGCGTATAAGAAGTATAGGAGTACAGGCCTGTACTCTAATTGGTACTAGATTCGATTCCAAATATATATATAAGTGGTTTATCTTTTGATTTAATGTTTCAAAAACAGGAAGTTTTTGGATGCTATATACATCACAACCGAGTCTAGATTAAAAAGAAACAAGACTTATGGGTTACTATGGTGACGTCTAAAAAAAATCGCGTGAAATAGCAATTTTATATTGGTGTAGTAAAACGAAATATATATATATATGAGGTCTTTGAAGAGTCTGTGAACTGCAGCTAAGTAATTTGTCAAATTGGAATTAAAAGAACGAATAAAGGAAAGGTTACTTATCAGTTATTTGGTGTTCAATATATATAGAGCGTTAAACATTTTTGGTGATTTTCCTTTCGTTCTATAAGAGAGGTGTGGGTATTTGATAATAATTTTCACTTAAAATTTCAATTCAAGATTTATTACAACTTTTTTTCTTACTCCGTCAAATTGAAGTAAACAGCAATTGCGTGTTCATAAAATTAGTAGGGTCGGTGAAATGACAAATCTTCCAGCAGTCACCTCACTAGATATCAAACAGTTTACTGATCCTCGTAAAAGTCAAGGGATATCAATGTGCACCGATCAGTTGTAAAATATGAAAAGACGTTGAAAGTGGATGGGATACATATTGCGAAAATCACCGCACTGTTTCACAAGACCAATTCTAACTTGGAGTTGTGAAGTGAAACAGAAAAAAAGAAGGCCAAATGTCACACTGCGCTGTGAATCGGAAGTAGATATGAAAAGGATTAATAGCAACTGGAAATAATTGAAAGCGATCGCTCAGGACAGAGTTGCATGGAGACTGCTTATGTGTGGCCTATGCTCATCGACAAAGGGTGACAGGCGGAGGTAAGTAAGCATGCAATGACAAGAGTGTCCGTTTTGATAATTATGTGTTTGATGAATTGATTTCGTTTCTACATTTCTCTGCATGATGCTTTATTTCGCACTACAGAAACCTCAACTACACAAAGTATTTTTAAACGTACAATTGACTGATCACAGGGTAGTAATCAGAGTCACGTATGTCAGGTCATTCTTAGTGCAGATCAAATGCTGTCGATAAATCGCCTGGTCTCGTTAAATATCAAGGTATAATTAAGGCTAGTATTTTAGACATTATATTAGTTAAACTGATTGCTCTGTGATTGTATCCACCAGTCTAGGTGACATGACAATGCCTTCACTATGTTGAAATATGATTGTGGTTGGAGGAAGTTAACAGAAAACCCTGGACCTAGGTTTCGTGCTACTTGACACTCTTCAGCAAGTGTACCTGGAATATTGGGGGAACTGGTGCTGTCTGACGGATTTGATCTCGTATCACCCAGCTTCGCAGTTGAAGACGCTACTGTTAGGCTACCCGGGCCACGACTGACCTGTAGGACTGAGATGCATTTACAATTGTCTGACCTAGGTTCAGAGTTTCCTGTCCACTGACTCTAACCACCATACTATTTTTACAACATATGTCATTGTTATTATTGCTATTGTGTTTCAAACATTTCATGCAAAAGTTTCGATAAAATGACTAACTATCAACAAATCAAAAATGCAACATATATTATGCAATGGTTTAGCCTAACCAGACCAAACCCTATAGTGATTGTAGATCACCAACGTAGACGATCTATGTCGAAATGATTAGAGGGTTACTCGAGTTAGACGTGAGTGGTGTGACAAACTAGCTAACGTCGAAGTCACACTTCGCGGTCTGCACCTTAAGTGGATTACTCCATTGACGTATCAAGTTATTATAGATGCTTTTAGGACTGTACAACAGAGAGGACGTTATTACAGAAATATATTAGTTAGAATAGATACAAGCGAAGGTAAGACCACTGCCGCATGGGCCAGTCCATGGCATACGATCAACTGGTGCACGTTGGTGGTCCTTAACCTTGACGAGGATCGGTGATCTGTTCGATATTCAATGACCCAACTGCCGGATGATTTGGCTAGGGCTCAGAGGAATTTCACTGGCCCTACATGATATTTATCAAGTGCTCACTTTTGGAGGTAAATGTTGTGAAAAGCAGTGACCGGTGGAATTCAGTCGTATTGCGTGTGAGTCAGTTACTCACCGAAGACAATGGAAGATGGTCGTACAACAACATGTATTGGTTGAAGCTAGAAATTAACCCCGTGGATGCCGGCCCAGCTGTCCAGAGATTAAGTGTCCGATCAGTTGCTGCTGTCTCCTTTTTGATTTATCGCTGTTTTTGAATGCCTGAAGGACTATTATTACTCTCCTGATAACCTCCTGTGCGCGAGAACTCCACTTGACTTTGTATTGAACTAACGTCACGTTGATTTTGATGGGAGAGTAACTTAGGGTTAGAAATTCTCAAACACATGATCATCGAAGCCAAACATATTATAACTGAGAAGAATAAAGTCCAAGATTTAATTTCTGGAGAAATTCAAATACTGTTTATGCAGAGACACTTGATAGGTATGGCATGACTCGACCTTGCAGGCACGATCACTATCTAATTTATCCCTTCCGCTATTAAATACACTCTTCCATCCTTAGCTCTAAAATGTTATTCAGAACTGCCAACCGTATTGCTAACAGTCAAGATAGGACGAGCCATTGTAGTGAATGATGAGAATTCCGTGTAAGATATTATATATATATATTATATATATATATGAGATAGTCTCATCATGTCAAATCTACCGCTGTTGAAGATTCTAGTGTATCAGGGTTTTCCAACTCTCGTAGATGAATCCTCCGTATCCGCCAACCTGGCTAAAGCGCCGGACATCCGCTTTTCGTTCTCTCGATTTCGTAAACAACGCCCTAGCCGTGAGAGGCCAGTGAGTAGCACTTGTCTGTCAGTGGCTGTATACGCGTAGATTTGTGAGAGAATCTGTCTTTTTACCCTCAACTGTACTAAGACATTTAAAGGCAGAATAACAATTCGTGAATTGGAATCATTGGCACTGGTTGCGCGTGGTGATAAAAATGTATGGGAAGAGTTAGTCGTGGTTATGGAAGAATTTTTAAGAGGTGTGGGAAGGATTTGGTCACCAACAAGATGATCTCGGGTGCTGTTAGTGGTATAAGATCGGCCTTCACATCCCGGGTGTCCACATCGTGGAAGGATATTTCTTCTTGAAGTACCTGAAACCAAAGCTGGCTCAGTGTTGGTTTTGGCGACCTGGGAGCGTGACAATAGAGCCTAAGGGACAACTTCTTGTGGTAACACTTGTGGAGTTGACCTTATACTAAGAAAAAGAACTTCCTAGCGATTTATTTTGGTCAACAAAATCAAGACATGCCTTCTAAATTTAAAATGCTAGTAAGAAACTTAATTAGAAGCTATAATTGACACGAAATTCTGATTTAGGCATAATTAGAAATTACGGAAGTAGGAACACCTCTACATATAAACTTTAGTGAGAAAAGACGAAATATATTTAGAGTTCTAAGAAGATAAACAAAAACTTGCATGTATAGATTAGGTAAGAATATCGACATGACTGTGATGTAATAACTTTAGAAAATGAGGTTACTATGGAGTAGTGGCAGAAACTTTAAACAGAGAAGTCCTATGATCAAAACGATTGATATGGAGATTAACAAAATGATACCTTTAAGTACGCACAATGGGTTATAGGCATCACACAATAGTAACTCGAAACTGTACGTTAACACCAATGAATTATAGCTTGTGTAAAACTGAAAGCGATCAAAAATTTTCAACTAGTGTTGTATTTCAAAGCGATTAAAAACAATCAGTAACACTAGCTTTTTCATTTTTTTTGCATATAGGATACATGAATTGTGTCAGTATACGAATAAAAAATTAGCGTTTGAATCAAGCAAAAATGAAAGAAAAATGTAACTAAATAATGAACAGAATAGTGTACAATAATTTATACACAAAAATGAAATGGCGACAACGCTGCAAGTCTGCGAATGGACAGCATTTTGAACATGATAATAATCTGACATTATTTCTTGGTATTATTATTACTAACGTATTCAGTCCCATCATCTGGTGGATGTCCATACGTCGAATGAATTATAACATCCTGGAAAATTTTTTAACAAGAAATTTGTATCATCGTTAAGATAATATAAATAAATATACGCACACAACAATAAGATGAACATGCAATTAAACATACAATTAAACAGGACTAGTGCGCTTACTGAGCTTTGGGCTAGACACAATAACCAGTTAGACGTAAGGCCAGTTAGTGTGAAATTGGGCAAATCGACAAATTCAGGTCAAAATATTAATCCTACTGTGTTTTCCGAATATGCTGTTATATTCGTAAAACAATTTGATAAAGTACACTCAACAATTGAGGTTTTACAAAGATAAAGTGTCCTTTATGGATACCGTTTAAACTTAACAGGTACTTTTCAGATACATGGACATATAAAAGATAAACTTCGATAAGATAATAAAAAGACGAAGATTATCAGAACTATCTGATATGTTAGCGCAATACATTTCGAACAGTGTGATCACACATATACTTGTTAAGGACATTTATATATAAAAATAAAAGGTCAACTAGACTAGAAATAGGGTAAGAGGAGATAAGGATAATAAATTGAAACTTTATCATTCTGGATAATAAGCTAATATTACCAGGGTAGGTTTAAGGTGAGAACTGTTTTTGAATACACAAAGGGGGTTTGAATTTTCGTATGGCTAAGGCTTCAATAAGCTTTAGTATAGGTCCTTTTACACTTTTATATAACACAAAAGCCGAGTTAACATCAATCTTATGGCCTGTTTCGATTATATGTTTAGCCATAGAGGATGATGGATGTTTATCCTCTACTCTTATTGGGTCACTTGATTGTATCTGTTTCTGCAACTATTTTGGTACATGTTCACACACTTTAATTTTGAGATCACGATTGCTCCTCCCTATATAAGTATCCACATATAAAGAAGACTCCCTACATATAAAAGTTTAGTGGATATAGATTAAACAGCAGAATAAAAACTAGCAGATACGTTTAATACTTTTCTCCACATGAAACGACTACATATAATCTTTGTAGCATGGTGGATAACATAAATATTCGTTGAAAAATAAAGGTGACTCAGCAATTTCACTTATTGAAGACCAATTATTGTATTTGTAGTGATTTAATAAACATATTTGTCTATCGAAAAATAAAGAGATTATAACATAATGTTCGGAGATTCTAAATATCATAAAAGGGTTGCGTAACAACCTAAAGGTTAGAGAATAATAAAAGTTTCTGATTGACAGGTATGAAGAAGAAATGAGAAACATGAAGGTGTTAGTAAGAATTGAAATAAAGTTATAAAAAGTTGTAAGAGAATAACGATAACTGGTTAGGATATATTTGTACAAATTCACTAAGTGATATCGTACAAAAATCTTATCACCAAATTGCTTTTATTTATTCTACACCAACACAATATATTTCTTTCGTCACGAAGACTCAGAATCGACTCCTGCGTGCGGAATCATGGGTACACATAGTTAGAGTCCCATACTAGGATAGAACGACCGTCTAGTGTTTCCAGGTTTTCAATGGTCGTCTAAGCTAAATCAGTTCATGATTTCAATAGTAATAATAATATTCATATCGATCAAATTATTGCGTTTTTCAAACATGGTATTGAAATTTTATGGAAATCGGTTTATACTAATCTATATATTTTCATCGAACTAATTACATTAGAGAGTGTATTTGTTTTTAAGAAAAATGAGCAGAAAATATTGAAGTATGTTGGAGAGGGGTAAAAAGATATCATTAACTTCATAATTCAGATTAGTTCTTGTCACTGATAAAGTATATGGACAGATAAACATACACATTCGAATTGCTTAACAACAAATAATCAAAATATACATATCTACTCCACTTAAATGAATAAATGATTGATAGCATTCAATATGTGAATGAAAATCATATCGATTAGTATTATAAAGAAGTAATTATATAACTTAGCCAATTTAGTTACATTTGTTTTCTATAACAGTTTAATCTTATGATGTTGTAAATTATGTTCATTTATTAAATTGTTGATTGATTGGTATCAAATGCTATTGATCATTATAAATAAAATCAATGCATTCAGATATAGGTTTTGATCCTTTGTACCGAATCAATATCAATTTTTGTGATAACAGTTAGCTAGTTTTAGGTTAACAAAAACTAAAACGGTTTGTTAAAAATTGATGAACATATACAGATAATAAACCGCAATATCTGAAATTGTTACCTCAATATTTGGAAATTAAAGAAAAATGTATAGTCTAATACTCATTTGACAAAATACTACATTAAGAAAACCGTTAAGAACACCATAAACAAGTAAATTAAAGTAGAACAGCATCCAAATTTTACTGTTTATATGTATCTTTAAGATATTTTAACAGTTTACTGAATGATAAGTTCACAAGAATTTTAGTTTCCATGAAACTGAAACTATAGAGGAAGGCAGAGTATAGGAAGTATTGTTTGACCAGAAGTCAGTGTATCTCAATAAATAAGCATTGTTAACTAACAAGACCATTGTAATGTGCATGAACAATAGTCAACGATTTCTTGTCTGGAGACAACACAAACAACAACAACAGACTCACATAAATCTAGGAAAGATATGCACACTGCACAGATTACATTGGAATTACCAATAATTAAGGACATCGGCGAGACTATAATTTACGGACGAACCAATCAGATATAGGATAACAAGTCTTGAATTTTGGCACGAAATTTGTTCACTTATTTGTCTAAATAGTATTTTGGCATTTTAACTGATGTCGGTTAGTGATGAAAGTCAGTCAGTCAGCTGCAACGTAGGACCAGGCACGTATATGCATCGGTCCAAGTTGCCATACCGCATTAGCACAACAAGATGAACACCGGATTCATAGGAGTAGTTAATTCAGTGGTGGTAATATATAGAAGAAAGATTGTGTATATGGAGATAGTACAGGAAGAAAGAATTAGTTCCTAGACAGATATGAAGCGATTTTAATCTCTTAATTTAAGGAAGACAGAGAGTGTATACACCGACGCCATTGTGATCGATTCTGAGCCATGTCACCAAGAGTCTCCAACCATTGGTTACGATAGTCACGCGGACCCCAACCAGGCAGTCTGAATCTCCCAACATGACTCAGACCAGAAGTTAGTGACTTCAAGCATTGATGCCACGTTTTGGTTTGGCCGCCCCTAACTTTCTTCCAATTATCCCCTGCACTAGTCAGCATTGCGCGTCGTGGTAATCGGTGTTCAGGCATACGCAACACGTGGCCCAACCATCTCAGTCGATGAAGATTCATAACCTCATCAACTGATTTACCATCATTCCCTAATACCCTGCGTCTAACCTCACTATTACTTACCCGGTGATCCCAGCAGATACCCGCAATATTTCTAAGGCACCTGTGGTCAAATACTAGTAACTTACGAATATCTTCCACTCTTAAAGGCCATGTTTCGCAGCCGTATAGAAGGACGGAACGAACTGCCGCGCAGTATACTCGCCTCTTAATTGATAGACGAATATCTCGCCTTCGCCATAGATGATGTAAGTTGGCAAAGGCCAAGCGAGCTTTTCGAATCCGTGCTGAGATTTCGTCAGACACCAACCCATTAGGGCTGATCAGACTTCCAAGATAAGTGAAGTTGTCAACGCGTTCGACTACTTCACCCCCTATCCTTAGTTCAGGTGTTGATGCAGACCAGTCCTGAAGCAACAACTTGCATTTAGAGGGAGAAAAGCGCATCCCAAACAATCGGGCATTGTTGCTCAGTGCTAACAAAAGACTCTGCATTTCGTCAGCGTCTTCACCAAACAGGACTATGTCATCTGCGTATTCCAAGTCAATAAGTGGACCTCCTGGTAGGAGATCAATACCCGAGAAGTCAGTCGATGAGAGCGTTATTTCCATCAGGATGTCTATGATAAAGTTAAACAAAAAAGGAGAAAGTGGACAGCCTTGACGGACGCCACTTGAGGTTGGAAAAGCAGATGACAGTTCGCCATAGGCTCTGACCCGACTAGTAGTGTTCGAGTAAAGAGCCTTCACAAGGTTTATGTACTTCTGAGGTACGCCTTTCAATGACAGACACTGCCACAGAACCTCTCGGTCAACAGAGTCAAACGCTGCTTTTAAGTCAAGGAATACCACCATTGTCGGACGCCGATAAGTATGCCTGTGTTCTAGAACCTGACGAATGGTGAATATGTGGTCGATGCAGCCACGACCAGGTCTGAAGCCAGCCTGATTTTCACGTGTTTGCAGCTCACGAGTTTTAGTTAGGCGTCCGAAAATTATCGAAGCTAGTATTTTAGATACTATATTAGTCAAACTAATCCCTCTGTGGTTGTCACAGGATGATTTTGACCCTTTCTTAAATATTGGGACGATAAGTGATTGTGACCAGTTAGATGGAATAACGTCTAACTCCCAGATTTTAGCTAAAATATTAGTCAACCTAATCGCTAAGACTAGACCACCATCCTTAAAGACCTCTGGGGCCAATCCATCTGGACCAGCTGCCCGTCCTCGTTTCAGATTAGCTATAGCCTTTTGAACTTCAGCTAGAGTTGGGGGACCTACTTCAATGTTCCATTCACATTGTCTGGGAATAGAGGGTAGTTGTAGAGTAGCTGAAGGCCAGCTAAACTGCTCCTTAAAGTGTTCCGCCCATCGTTCTAAGCGTCTGGACTGGGAGCAGATGAGAGTGTCGTCTTTTTCCGAAATGGTCTGACTTACACTTGATTTATTAATTCCAGTTTCTTTTATTAGTCTGTAGAGTTGTCTTGTATTCCCTATAGCCGCCGCCTTATCCATCTCTTTTGCTTTCGTTGCCCACCACTGCTCACGATCATTCTTTAGACTTTTGCTTAATCTAGATCTGATTTCTTTACGCTCTTCATCGTATTCAGAACCTGATGGGATGAGTTTGCGAGAATCTATCAGTGCAATAGACCTTGACGAAATCCATTGGTTCTTTGTAACCCTGTGGTTTGAATCGCTAGTAGATGTCACTGCTGTTTCCACAGCTGCTTGTATAA